TTGTCGAATTTATTTAGAATATTCGACAAATTTGTACAGAAAAAAATTATTGAAAAAAAAAATTATATATATATACATATATATATATATATATGCATACATAAGTATGCACATGTAAGGATTTACATGAAAATCTCCTAAAATAAACCATTAAACCTACAATATTACATTAAAAAATTACAATTACAATTAAACATATTAAATCAAAAATACAACAAAACCAGCAAAAAATAAAAAAATCCCAAAAACATACCCAGATCCTTAAGAAGTGACAACTCTCCTAACCTCAACTTGTCAAAAATCACTTTTTTCTCAAATTCAAACACAAATTTAATTATTTTAAACTACAAAACTAACACCAAAATGTTTATTATTAAATTGTTAATAGCATTTTAATAATTTGTTGTTATTTTATTAACATTTGTCGGTGTTTTTAGTTAAAAGATTGAGAGTGAACTGTTTGTAATGTTTTATTATGCAGTCGGCATCATCTTGTGCGCCATGCGCAGTACTAATAAGAGAGAGGGAAATGTAAGGGATACTCCGCACCATTGTGTGGAAAAAATGATGTTTTGTTAAAGAAAATTTGAGGAATGTGTGTGGTGTGTATGGAAGATTTGTTAACAATGAAATTGTGCATATTTTCTCCATATATAGTATATATATTGGATTCATTTTCTTCACGATATGAACAAAACTTTGAATTCGATATTTCATTCTTAAGCAATAAATATAGAAAATTCGGGAGATATTTTTTTTTGGTTTTTGTCAAATAACTCACGAATATTATATGAAAGTATCATTTTTAAGTGAAACTAGATAAAATTTACAACATTTCCTAGGAAACACTTTTATACACTCCGATATAAAAGTTTTAAACAAAACGACTTTGAATTCGATATTTCATTCTCTAGCAATAAATATAGAGAAGGAAATGTAAGGGAAATTCCGGACCATTGTGTGGAAAAAATGATATTTTGTTAAAGAAAATTTGAGGAAAGTGTGTGGTGTGTATGGAAGATTTGTTAACAATGAAATTGTGCATATTTTCTCCATATATAGTATATACATTGGATTTATTTTCTTCACGATATAAAAGTTTTAAACAAAACTTTTTTGAATTCGATATTTCATTCTTTAGCTATAAATAGAGAATTTGGAACTTTTTTTTGGTCAAATAACTCACGAATATTATATTAAAGCATCCTTTTTAAGTTAGATATGGTGAAACTAGATAAAATTTACAACGTTTCCTAGGAAACATTTTTATTAAATTGGTTTAGTGTTTTGTACATGTTTAAAACAGAATATCCGGGTCACTTTTTTACATTTTGTTAAATTATGCAAAACTTTTGCACTAAGCACTCTATTTTTATTAACTTAGCAGAAACTAGATACAATTTACTACATTTTCATATAAACAGTTATGTACACTCTAATATTAGGTTGTCAAATATCTCCCTTCCGCTTTTTTGCTCTTGGTTTATAATACAAAAAGGCGGAAGGGACATATTTGACAACCTTATATAAAAGTTTTAAATAAATTGGCTTTGAAATCGGTTTTTTGATAATTGCCATAGAAAATTCGGGACATTATTCTATATTTTTTTGAATAACTCAAATATTTTGTACCGGGTACTCCTTTCTTATTTGCTCAGAAGAAACTAGATAAAATTTACTACATGTTCTTATAAACGGTTATAAACACTTCGATATGAAAGTTTTGGATAAAACAACATTGAAATCGATCTTTTGATAGGTGCAATAGAAAATTTGAGTCATTTTTCTACATTTCTTCAAATATCTCGACGTTTTTTCATCGTAAATAACATTTTTTATTAGTACAGCAGAAACTAGATAAAATATACCTTATCTTTAATCCGTATAAACAATCTTATACATTACCATGTAAATATTACGAATAAATAGAGTTTGAAATCGGTTTTGTGTTGTGTACATAAAATGTAGTACAAATCCATATAAACAATCTTATATACTCCCATATAAAAGTTTTGAATAAGACGACTTCAAAATTAATTTTTTATTGTTCGAATGTTTGCTGTAGAAAATTAAGGACATTTTTTACATTTCTTCAAATAACCCAAAAACTTTTCACTAGGCACTTTATTTTTATTAGCTTACCAGGAACTTATCTTTGAATATTTGACTATATAAAATGACCAACACTTTGTTAAAAAAGTTGTCAAATTACTCACAAAGTTTATATGAAAACACTCTTTTTCAATTAGATAGGGTAAAAATAGATGAAATTTACTACAAATCCATATCAACAGTTATATACACTCCTATAGAAATATTTTGAAAAATATTTTGAATAAAACGACCTTGAATTGGATATTTCATTCTTAAGCAATAAATAGAAAAATCGGGACTTTTTTTGGTTTTTGTAACATAACTCAAAAATGTCATATGGAACCACCCTTTTTCAGTTAGACAGGGTGAAACTAGATAAAATTTACAACATTTCCTAGGGAACACTTTTATACACTCCGATATAAAAGTTTTGAATAAAACGACTTTGAATTTGTATATCTAATATCGTATAAAGCAATCCAATGGGAATCCACTAAGATTCCAATTTTTCTAAGAAGATTGCATGCAGCGCCTCTATGTAAAATTGTTCCCAAATCGTGAGGAACTACGTAGTGACTACCGGGTTCATATGGTTCTGTGTTAGATGACGCCACCGGCGCCGAACGTTTCACAGTTATATAAATATACTAGCTGGCCCAGTTTATATGGGAACTGGATATATAAATGTATATTATATCGATTTATACATGATTATATATGGCCTACTGCCTTAGTTTGTATGGAAATTGGATAGATAAATGTATATATTGATTTATACATGATTATATATACACTAACTGTCTCAGTTTGTATGGGAACTGGATATATAAATGTATATTATATCGATTTATACATGATTATATATACACTAACTATCTCAGTTTGTATGGAAATTGGATAGATAAATGTATATATTGATTTATACATGATTATATATACACTAACTGTCTCAGTTTGTATGGGAATTGGATATATAAATGTATATATTGATTTATACATGATTATATATAAACTAGCTGTCTCAGTTTGTATGGGAAATGGATATATAAATGTATATATTGATTCATACATGATTATATATATACTAGCTGTCTCAGTTTGTATGGGATTTGGATATATAAATGTATATATCGATTTATACATGATTATATATGGCCCAACTGCCTTAGTTTGTACGAGAATCGGATATATAAATGTACATATTGATTTATACATGATTATATATACACTAACTATCTCAGTTTGTATGGGAATTGGATATATAAATGTATATATTGATTTATACATGATTATATATGGCCTAACTGCCTTAGTTTGTATGGAAATTGGATATATAAATGTATATATTGATTTATACATGATTATATATACACTAACTATCTCAGTTTGTATGGAAATTGGATATATAAATGTATATATTAATTTATACACGATTATATATACACTAACTATCTCAGTTTGTATGGGAATTGGATATATAAATGTATATATTGATTTATACATGATTATATATGGCCTAACTGCCTTAGTTTGTATGGAAATTGGATATATAAATGTATATATTGATTTATACATGATTATATATACACTAACTGTCTCAGTTTGTATGGGAATTGGATATATAAATGTATATATTAATTTATACATGATTATATATACACTAACTGTCTCAGTTTGTATGGGAATTGGATGTATAAATGTATATATTGATTTATACATGATTATATATACACTAACTATCTCAGTTTGTATGGGAATTGGATATATAAATGTATATATTGATTTATACATGATTATATATACACTAACTGTCTCAGTTTGTATGGGAATTGGATATATAAATGTATATATTAATTTATACATGATTATATATACACTAACTGTCTCAGTTTGTATGGGAATTGGATGTATAAATGTATATATTGATTTATACATGATTATATATACACTAACTATCTCAGTTTGTATGGGAATTGGATATATAAATGTATATATTGATTTATACATGATTATATATACACTAACTGTCTCAGTTTGTATGGGAATTGAATATATAAATGTATATATTGATTTATACATAATTATATATATAGTAACTGTCTCAGTTTGTATAGAAATTGGATATATAAATGTATATATTGATTCATACACGATTATAAATTTATATATGGCCACGGTATTTAAGGAAAATGAATATATACATTTATATATATGTATATTTATGTTTGAATCCTTGGATATATATCCCTGACTTTTTGACGAGATTGAAGTGAGTGTAAAATGTTTTATTTACGTTTATATATCGATTTATACACTCAAATCACATCTTTGAAAATATTGAAAATAAAACGGCGGAACAGTTATATACAGTCCGATATAAAAGTTTTGAATGAAACGACTTTGAATTTGATATTTCATGATTCGGGACATTCTTTTGGTTTTTGTCACATAACTCAAAAATTTCATATAGAACTACCCCTTTTCAGTTAGATAGGGTGAAACTAGATAAAATTTACAACATTTCCTAGGAAACACTTTTTTACATTCCTGTATAAAAGTTTTGAATAAAACGACTTTGAATTTGATATTTCAATCTTTAGCAATAAATATAGAAAATTCATATAATTTTTATTACAGTTTTATTACATATATAAATATTTTTGCAGGTGTAAAAGACGGTAGTTTAATTGTTTAAATTTGTTTAGAATTTGGCGTTTGGGATTTGTACGGAATTCAAACTGTCAACTGTCAAATTTGATAGGGTTGCCAGATTTAATTCGAGACGAAAAATGAAGTCTGAAGTTAGATTCATAACAAGTTTGACAGGTGACAGCGAGTTTAAATAAAATGGCTGACAGTTTCTTATAAATTATTTATTTTATTAAATATTATTATATTATAACAAAATTACACAATTTAATAAGTAAATATATTATTTGTGCATTATTTTCAATTACAGCTTCAAATATTATATTTATTTTGTAACGACGTCAATATTATTGTGTACTGAATGTTTGACTGTTCAAATGTTTGGTTAAATTTGTGCAGGTACGTGTTTTTTTTATAAATATTAATTAATACTTGATTTTGAATACTAAAATCAGTTGTAGTTGACATATTAAATAAATCTTAGTGTGTTTTAATACGAGTACATATCTACGTGCGCTCTGCAAAAGTAGATGCTCGTTTTGAGGTTATGAAATTTTCATACTTAGTATTTTTTTTTATTTATATTTATTTATTTATATATATACATTATTTTCATATCTCAGTCAGGCAGAGGTGCCTGGTTTCTGTTTACTTTGATCATCTTAGATGAAAATGCATTGTTTTTATACCATAATCACTGCTAATTACAAATATTAAATAAAATTTCAGATAACCAATGGCTGTTTCTCTATCTGATTCCATTCTGGAAGTTAAAACCGAACCACCAGAATTTCCAATTGAAGACATTAAATGTGAAATAAAAGAAGAGCCTGGAGATGATGAAACATGTCTGCAGAAATTCATGAATTCCGATATAACAATAGAAGATGAAGTCAAACAGGAATCCTATGAAGCATCTCATTATGAATGCGATATATGTAATGAATCATTTACAGGGCAGCATGATTTAGAACAGCATATACTGGTACATAGTCATGATTGTCCATTTTGTTTAGATACTTTTCCGGATTCAAGTGCCTTAGATATACATCTGAAAATTCATGCAGATGAAAAGCCTTTTGTGTGCACAATTTGCAATAAAGCATTTGCTGTAAAATTTGATTTTGATCAACACGTTTGTGTTTGTAATGGAAAGACAGATTCAACATTGAATAAATTATCTGATAATCAAAAACAAAGTAAGAGTACACAGAGACCACATAAATGTAAAGTTTGTAATAAGAGTTTCTACTATCCAAGTTACTTGAAAGAGCATATGCTTATTCACACTGGAGAACGTCCTTACGAATGTGAAATATGCAATAAGACATTCAGACAAATGGGTGTTTTGAGAGCACATCAACTTATTCACAGTGGGGTGCGTCCTCACAAATGTGAAATATGCGATAAGACATTCACGCAAATGGCTGCCTTGATAGCACATAAACTTATTCACAGTGGGGTTCATCCTCACAAATGTGAATTATGCGATAAGACATTCAGAACAATGGGTGCCTTGAGAGCACATAAACTCATTCACAGCGGGGTTCGTCCTCACAAATGTGAAATATGCGATAAGACATTCACGCAAATGGCTGCCTTGATAGCACATAAACTCACTCACAGTGGGGCTCGTCCTCACAAATGTGAATTATGCGATAAGACATTCAGAACAATGTTTGCCTTGAGATCACATAAACTTATTCACAGTGGGGCTCGTCCTCACAAATGTGAAATATGCTATATGACATTCACACAAATGAGTAGCTTGAGTGCACATAAACTCATTCACACTGGGGAACGACCTCACAAATGTGAAACATGCAATAAGACATTTGCTCAAGTGAGTACTTTGAATAGACATGTGCTTATTCACACTGGAGAACGGCCTCACAAATGTGAAATATGCGATAAGACATTCACACAAGCAAGTAGCTTGAGAACTCATATGCCCGTTCACAGTGGGGTACGGCCCCATAAGTGTACAGTATGTGATAAAACATTTGCAAGACCAAGCATCCTCAAAAAGCACATCGTTGTGCACAACAAAAAGTAATTATAATTATAAAGTATGCAATAAGGGATTTTGCCAAATGGCTGCGCAATGAAATATGTAAAAGATATTTCTAAAAATGGAGTTGAAAGATCTATTAATTAATTTTTGAAAGTATGTTTAAAATATGAATTATTTTTGTATGTTTTATAAATATAAACAAATAATGTTATAATGATTGTTTCATTGTCATATTGTTTTATATCTGCTGTAGGTTTAATTATTATTTTGTAAACAATTTGAATACAGTTTTATATTTCATAGCATATTTAAATGTTATTTTGACCATACTTTATATTTTTCACAATTTTATTAATTAAATTCCGGTAGGGTAAGTTATTGTAATGGGCCAAAAATCGAAATTGAAATTTTTTACATTTCTCGACGTTTTGAAGGTTTCTGAACATTTTGGCACACTTCAGAAAAAATTGATGTGCGTGTGTGTGTGTATGTATGTATGGATACAAATTTCCAGTCACGTTTTGGGGCGCACGGATCAACCGATTTGAATGGTTTAAAAAACATTCGATTCCAATTGATAGGGTAAAGAGCTGATTAGTTTTTGGCGAAGGCAAGTCCAGCCGTTAAGGAGATACGGAGCAAAGACTGCAGAAAATAAAAATCGACTTTTTGAGAGAACGGAGTATCCGATTTGAATGATCTAAAAAACATTCAATTAGTAATGATTGAAAGAAGTTGTTATTAGTTTTTGGCAAAGGCAGGCCCAGCCATTTCGAAGATACGGAGCTAAATATACAAAAAAATGGCAGTTTTTGAGAGAACTAAGCGTCCGATTCAATTGATCCAAAAAACTTTCTGCTTGTCTTAACAAAATAATTGATTTTGGAAAAAAAAAATTTGTTCAACTTTTTTTTTTAATTTTTTGTATATCGAAAATAATTCACATTTTATTTTTAATTCTGACTATAGTTATAATATACTTTAAACAAATAATTTCAACTTTGCAATTCAGTTTATATAATTCTTATAAATATTTGACAATGCTACAATATTAATAATAATCTATTTGAAAACGTTCAGTATTCCTCTAACATTTCGTTACGGTACGGGAAGTTCCAGCAATTTGCCTTAAGGCACGATGCCACCCACCTCACTAATTTAAATAACTCTTGAACATTTGAAGGTAACATAATTATTTTTATTAAATTCATTATTTAGCTTCCTGATTGTGGAAATAATATTAGTAAAGTATTTGGCAAATTTTGGCAGCAACTTAATATTGCAATTGTAAACTACAAATTTATCGCATAAAACGTTGCGTAACGATTTTATTATATCTCTTGTAACTTTAAAGGCACTTGTTTATATAAATAAAATATTTGGTAAATTTGTACAATATTAAAATAACACACAATAGTTTTACAAATGTGAATCGACACAAACTGTGATATATCAAAATAATTCTGAAGCAAGTGAATACGATTTTATAACAATTATTATATTTATTTATATTAGGTTTGGTTTTTGTCAAATAACTCAAAAATTTTATATGAAACCACCCCTTTTCAGTTAGACAGGGTGAAACTAGATAAAATTTATAACATTTTCTAGAGAACACTTTTATACATTCCGATATAAGGGTTTTGAATAAAACGACTTTGAATTCGATATTTCATTCTTAGGAGAAAAATATAGAAAATTCGGGACATGTTTTTGGTTTTTATCAAATAACTCAAAAATTTCATATGAAACTACCCCTTTCGAAATCAAACCGAACGAACTTTAAATAAGTTACAATTTCTAAGAATTATATAAACTGAATTGCAAAGATAAAACAACTTAATTTAAAGTATATAAGTGAGCTTTAGAATTAAATTACAGTTAGTATTTAAATTTGAAATTTGAATGCATAATTTAAAAAAATCTGAATTTATGTGAAAATATTGTAAGTTGTCTGAAAATATTGCAAATAGTGTGAAAATGTTGCATATTGTCTGAAAATGTTGTAAATTGTATAAAAAAAATGTAAATTGTATAAAAATAAAGTAAATTGTCTGAAAATGCTCCTTTTCTTTAATGATATCTATATTTATGTTTATATGAAAATAAAATATGATTATAATAAAAAAAAACTTACATTCTTATCCATTCTCCAACTTTAACCAGGTTGCATGCTGTTGATTTCTTAGGCAATAAATATAGAAAATTCGGGACATTTTTTTGGTTTTTGTCAAATAACTCAAAAATTTCATATGGAACCACCCTTTTTTAGTTAGATAGGGTGAAACTAGATAAAATTTAGAACATTTCCTATGAAACTATTTTACACACTCCGATATAAAAGTTTTGAATAAAAAACGACTTTGGATTCGATATTTCATTCTTTAGCAATAAACATAGAAAATTCGGGACATTTCTTTGGTTTTTATCACAATACAAACAATTTTGGCGTCCTAAGGAATTTACTCTTTTCAGTTGCCTTTTTAAAATACACCGAATTGTTATACAGTATCATCATATAAGAAAACATTGTTAATAATTAAATTCCAAACAATTTTGCCAAAAATTTCATTTACATCAGACAAACCGTTTAAAAGTTACAAGACATATAATAAACAAATACCCCAGTCAAAAATGTCGAAACCAAAAAAAATGCAAACAAATAATTTGTCCCATTACAAAATCAATTATCATCGCTTGTTTATCGATACCAATTGTCAAATAATCGATAATGATGAATTTCGAATATTAAAAATAAAATATAAAAATAGTTGTTGGCGATAAGATAAAAGTCGAATCGAATAATATGCCAAGTGCAAAAATTCACAAGATTCTCGAACGATAACAAAAAGTTTTAAATAAGAGGCCTGAGAAACAATTCGATTATTTTAGTTGTTGGATTTGTGTGATTCTGTTCGAAAATTTGTGGGAAAATTTGAGAAAAATTGTGAAAATTTGGGTAAGTTTTGTGTATATTATTTGAAAACTGTTTTTCATAATCTCTCATACCAGGCAACTTTGCCTGACTGAGATATGAAAATAATGTATATATATATATATATATATATATATATATATATATATAAATAAATAAAGTATAGTTGAATAAAATATTATATATAAAAAAAGTACGCTACTGATAAGGGTAGAAGAAATTTAGTAGATGCATTTATTGCCTATAAGTCTTGTAACTTTTAAACAGTTTGTCTAATATAAATAATAAATAAGAAAAATTTGTTCAAAACTAAATTATTCATATTATTGTCTAATAGTATAACACCATACAGCAACTCGGTATACTTTAAAATCGTAATGGAACATAAATAATTAGTATACTCATTGATCACTTTACTCATTTGTGCATTTATTTATTAGATCTCTTGTAACTTTTGAACCGTTTCCTTAGTATAAATCAAATATTCAGCTGTTTAAAATTAAATTGTCTAAAACATTGTCTAACATAATAAGACCTTAGAGCAACTCGGTATACTTTAAAAATGTATTTGAAAGCAGAAAATTAGTCTAAACGCTTGAATACAATTCTGCATTGACTAGCAATGATATTCTGCATTTATTTGTAACTATAAAATCTTTGGTCTGATTAAAATAAAATATGAGAAAAAATTATACAAAATTTAATTCTCTATAATCTTTTCTAATATTATAAAGCCCTACAGCAACTCGGTATACTTTAAAATTGTAATTGAAACAGAAAATTAATTTAAGAGAGTGTAAAGAAGCATTCATTTATTATATCTTCTATAACTTTTCATCTGTGCGTTAAACATAAATAAATATGAAATAAAAATGTTTAAAAAAAATTATTCATAAAATTGTATAATATTATAAACCCCTACAACAAGTCGGTATACTTAAAATTTGCGATAGATTTTTTTTTTTAATATCAATAATTATTACAACTGTTAAATTATTAACGTCTAGTAATATATATAATAAATAATAACATAAATTTAAATAAATAAAAGTGCAAAGGATAAAATTTACATGAAAATAATATCCGTTATTGAAAATAAATCATTTATATGATAATTTTTTTTTTATATATGGTATAACTTCTGAACTGTTTTTTTGATATAATTATAATATTTAGCAAATTTGTTCAAAATTAAATTGTCTATTACCATAAGAATAAATTTATTAAATCATTAACAAAAAATCAATATAATAAGTTTTCAACCTTCAGCATTTACGTGCATATATTTATCAGATTTGTTTAATTAAAAATCTGATCAATGATTTAATTTTCTATTATGTTATTATAATGATTAACTTATCAGAAATCAATGTTTTTATCAAATGATATTACCTTGGATTGCATCTGATGCAAAATAACAAAGAGTCATTATAGATAAATACATTTATATATATATATATATATATATATATATATATATATATATATATATTTTAATTAAAAAAATAGACATTTTTGTAATATTTTTGATAATATTTACAACCTTTCGAATTTCATTTGTATAAATGTATTTTTATCTTTAAATCCTGAAGATTTATATATGTAGAAAATATATTATTGATAAACTAGTGAAAATTGGAAATCAAGGGTATTACTACTCGATGGCAAATTAAAAATGTTATTAGAACAGCTTTTTGAATCACCAAAATATCTGCAATAGTTTTTATAAAATTGCATTTTTACACTTTGCAAAATTTTATAAGTCGCAAAAAATCAATATGGATCCTACGAAATCGAAATATTTAAAAATGCAATATCTCGAGAACGCTTTGAGATATTTTAGAAATTCAAAAAGCCGCTTATATAACATTTTTAATTTGCCATCGAACTGTGGTACTTACTATATGTTGTTTTAACTCGTTCACTAAGAATGCAACAATAATATGCACACCCATATAGAAAGATTAAATAGTACAATCGGTAATGGAAAAAACTTAACTATATATTAATTGTCTATAAAGATGCATACTCTCGACTTGCATTGTTAACTATTTCTTCAAATCCTAAATATTTATTTATGCATAGTGTATATTCTTGAGGAACTAGT